GTAATTTTCTTACAATTTTCTCATACCAAATGTAAGGGGATTGCTATCTATGTGAACTGAAACATTTTAAGTAACTGATTTTAAGGCAGACCCTAAAAGAATTTAGTTATAACCGGTAATATTTATGCTCTGAATAACAAACAGCAGTCTTTCTATAATGACCTTGATGAAGCTGTTCTCTGTTTTGCTAATGGTGACGTGATATTGAGAGGAAACTTTAATGCACTAATAAGTAATTATACATATAGATTTATCAGAAAACATAATCGCACTAGCAAGGCAGTACTACATTTAATTAAAAAGAATAAGTTCTTTAATTTAATAGATATTTGGAAAGTTCAAAATCCACAGACCCATGATCACACTTATTTTTCGGTGGCTCATAATACTTATTCAAGACTTGGTATGGTCTTGATAACTAATAAATTTTAAAAATTTGTAAAGCAATCTGCAATAGAACTGATGTCTTAAACAGATCATGCTCCCATTACATTTTAATAGGAAAAAAGATTTTACATAGCATTTTGACAACAATTTATTAAATAACCTGCAGATCAGAAAAAACTTCAGGATGATTTGGCTGGATTTTTCCATATTAATAATAATTCTGATGTTTCTCCAGTGGCTGTATGGGAGGTCAGTAAAACCTTTTTCAGGGGGGGAAAGAGAGAAAAAGAAAGACAATTTTACTTAATGTAACTAAAAGAACTTGAATTGAAGCATAAGAAAGATCATAATCCCAAGAAGATATCTAGCGATGGTTCCTCTTCTACCTCAGTGTCTTTGGGTGAAATCTTTGACTCTGACTCTGATCTGGGAGAGGCTGCCCCCAGACCATACAAGATAAAAATCCCCTGGCAAAAGAAGAAAAAGTGCAAAGAGAAGAAGACACCTAAATGAAGATCTAAGATTTTTTCTATGCTAAAATTTATAGAATAGATGTCATTGCTCATATGCGTTATTATAATTAATTAATATTTGTTCTTTCTATTTGAATACTTTGCATTTGGAACGTAAACGATATATTGGAAACATAAAAATACAGGGAAATATCTAAAGCATAAGATAGGTCATTATTGAGCCTTGCTACTCTGAATTTGTAGTGAGTAGGTTGTAGTATATAGTATAAAAGCAATAAAAAGTTTTTTTTTTAAAAAAAAGAAAGATCATAATCCTCAAACCTATAAGAATTTAACAAATGTAAAGAATGTATGGTTAGATGGATGCAAAAGCTTCAACTGCAAAGCCCAGGAACTCGACGCGAGGCACCCCCAAGAGACATTTCTCCTGCTTGACTTTGAGCCCTGCTGCGTCGAAATGTTGTAGAACGGCTCACAGATGGTCCCTGAAGGACGAGTCATCCGGAGCCGCGATCAGCATGTGGTCTAGAAATGGCTGAACCCCGGGGATGCCTTTCAGGAGAGAATCCATAAAAGATTGAAAAATCTCTGGCGTGACCGAGACTCTGAACTGGAAGCGGTGAGCCTTGAACACTCCCCTGTGTGTTGTGATCGTTTGGGCTTCGGCCGTGGCGGCATCAACCGGCAGTTGTTGATACGCCTGTGCCAAGTCCAACTTGCCAAAAACCCGGCCCCCCGCCAAAGCCACCAACACGTGGCTCACCACTGGCACCGGATAAGCGTGTGCCTGCAGAGCCTTGTTTAGCGTGCATTTATAATCCACACAAATGCGCACGTCCCCGTTGGGCTTCACCGGGGTGACTATGGGGGTCTCCCATCGTGCCGATGCGACCGGTTCCAGAACCCCTTGTTCCACTAAGCGATCTAGCTAGGCCTTGATTTTAGGCTTCATTGCTAGTGGCAGCAGCCGGGCCTTGATGCGAATGGGCTGCACTGCTGGGTCGAGATCCAAGGAGATGGGGGGCCAAGAGAAGCGTCCCAGGGTGCCATCGAAAACATGGGGGAATTCTGCGCACACTGCACCAAAATCCCGTGACCCAACCCAGTGGATTCCATTCAGAGAGAGTCCCAGGGCTTCAAACCAAGAGACTCCCAGCAGGCTGGAGAGAGGCCTATCCACCCCCAAAAGGTCAAGGGTGCCGTTAAAGTCTTGGAACTGTACTCGGAACTTGCCCCAGCCCAGCACTGCCACGGGGTTCTTATTAAAGTCCCTTAGACGGAAACCCAGTGACTTCTGAAGCGGCGGGCCCCCTTTCTGACACAGCAGGCAGAGCGTATCCACGGAGATAATGGAGTAGGTCGACACTGTGTCGATCTCCATGCTGCAGGGGGATCCCTCTATAAGAACCGTGACATGCATCTTGTTGGGGCCATCGGGGGGCAAGTTACAGACCTATCGGCCCAGTTCCTGCAACACCAGCAAACTTGGTGGGCTTTGGCGAAAGGTGGTTGGTCAGCGCTTTCACCAGCTCCCCATAGGACTCGTCCTTGATCTGCTTCGGCGCGATGAGGTCCTTTAGCAGCAGACGGTGTCTATGCCACAGGACCGGAGGAGATGGGCCTTTTTCTTCCCCGGGTCTACAATGCTGTGCCAGTCGAAGTAGCTCTCCAGGATCTCGAGCCAGGTCTCCCACTGTGTGGGTTGGGAGATGTTGAAAGTGGCGATGTTTTCCTGGGAGGTAGCCATTGAGCTGTGGCCACGTGGTGTGAGTAGCTCGGGAGCGGCAGCGGCAGCGGCTGGAGCGATGCAGGGGGCGCTGCTGCTCTCGGGGTCAGCAGGGTGATGCTTGGCGTTGTGGAGACGGAGCGGTGCAGAGCGGTGCTTCTTGAAGACGCTCGATGCTGGCGGCGGTGGCGAGTTCGGCGCGGCGGCTCACGGCGATGTCCGGGACGTTGTTCCAAGGGAGATGAATCCTACCTTCGTTGCCAGTGAAAAGTACGCAGACGGAGAGTGATTTCAGCAAAGCGTACTTTATTCGATCAGGAACAAGACGACTTTGGCCAGCTTGCAGGCCAGCTTATATCCCCCGAGAAACCGCCACCCAAAACACACCCCTACTTCCCAATAGGTTATTTACAGTGGCCGAGAGTCCCATAGGCTCTCGGCCGGGAACCTAGCCCCCTGACTGGAGTGGGCTAGGATCTGCATAGTCCATTGTCTCTTGGAGCGAAGCTCAACTTTGTCTCTGACCACGTGGAGCCTGAGCCGGCCATGCGGTCTGGACTGGACACATTACACCAACCTCCAGGTGGGGGCTGGAGATCACCCGAAATAGTGACTGCTCTCCAGATGAGATTGATTCCCCCAGAAAAAATGGCTGCTTTGGAAGGTGGACTCTATGGCATTGTACGGTGCTGAGATTACCTCTCTCACCAAACCTTGTCTCCCAAGGTTCCACCCCCAAATCTCCAGGAATATCCCAACTTGACACTGGAAACCTTAAGAAGGAATCAGGAGGAGAGCCTCCTGCAAGTCCTTGTGGGTTTCTACTTATATATAATGAAAAGGAAATTGTTTTTAAATGTTTCGCAGCACTGTTTCTGTAGCCAGCACCAGTGAGGCTAATGCAGGATACAATTCAGAAGCTTCAGCAATACATAACAGAGACAGATGGCGAGTAAAAGTGTTGCTGTGACACAGTGGTTTCCCTGTTTTCCCTACATAAACATTATGATGTCCATATTCCATAGAATTGCAGAACTGTGGAACAGGTCTTTCTCTAAGAAACATCTCCCCCTCCCTCCAAAAAACGTAACCCTGTTATTAGAAAACACACACCGACACATTTCCTGTGTGCACATTATGTAACTCAGCTTTGCCATTTCTATATTGAACTCAAGCACTTAATTAAAGTTGTACACAGAAATAATGCTCCAGGGAGTGGATCTCTGGGATGTTGATCACACGGATTTGAGGAGGATAAGGGAACACGGGATTCAACGAGAACTGTGCAAAAGTGTGCACGGTTCCAGCACTTATATAGCAGGACGCACCGTGCTGTCTCATCCAAACCATGTTAACAGTAGATTGTTGTTGTTGTTGTATTTTATTTTCTTTCTTTTTTAAAAAAATAAGTGTTTTTTATTATTTTGAACCATATATACAACAGTACATTCAGAACCCATGTTAATACCATGCAATAATCAACACTCTCAACCCGTAAGAGCCTTTAAAAAATATAATAGATCTTGGTAATAAGAGTTGTTTGGAATCACTTCTTCCTCTGCGAGATAGTCCACTACTGGGAGCCAAGTTGCTTGAAAATCTTTTTGGTGAGAGACAATTTTACCATTTTACCATCTACAAAGATTTTGTTCTGCCAACACTGGAGAGTAGGTTTTATTTTCAGTTCGAGCCTGTAAGGAAAGGATCTCTTTCTTGCGAACGTCTCTAATCCCCCCCCCCTCCTCCTCCCGTTTCAACTGGTCCGTCTTTCCACTCCCTTCGGTTTCCTGCCTTCCGCTCTGGAGCGCACGCAACCCCAGCGCAGAAAGTTTGCATCAGCCTCCTGCGTCCCCAGAGCGCTGCCAGCCTCACTCCGCTGCCTGCACCCCCAGTGGGACTAGCAGCTGGAAGGAGCCTGCCTCTTTCTCTGTGCAAGACAGCCGCTGCTCCGCCTTTCTGATTCTGCCTCGGCATGTGAGCCAGATCCCATTTCAGGAAAGGAGCTCTTGCGCTGCCGCAGCTACTCAGGTGGCTCTCGGTGACCCCTCCCCCCCCCCCAAAACCCCTCCCCATGTGATCTGATCTCCCTTGGAGACTCCTCCCCCCTCGGCTTCTCCCTCCTCCCCTGGACTTTCTATGAGGTCACCAGCTGCTCCCTGGCTCCTCCCCTCTACATCCCCTGGCTGCTGCGGGCCGTGGCTCCGCCCACCCTGTAGCGAGTCCGCTCCTCGCGTTCATTTCATTCCTCTTCTCATTCCGAACATTCTTAGCATCGCTCGCGCCGCACAAGCCCATTCGAAAGCCCAGCCCGCCCTGCCGCCACCGGTTTGGGGGCAGTAACTAATCACTTGAAGGGCTTCAATAATCCCGCAAGCCAACAAGCCGTAGAGCCCAGACATAAACACTACAAAAAAAAAAAAAAATTACAAAAATAATAACAACAAGAAGCAAAAAACACCAAGGCTATAAATTAAAGCAAGCAAAGTCCCCGGGGGAAGCTGGAAGAAGTTTGCAATTGATTTACAAAAGACTGTTTGCAAAGGTGGGGAGTGAAGTGGAGGTAAGTTTTGTGCGTGTGTGTGTGTGTTACGGGCGATTGGGGGCTGGAGCGAGAGAGCCGCTTCTCTGCTCTTTGCTTTGTGTGGGAGGGAAAGGGGGGGGTTTGTCTTCTTGTTA